GGAGTAACTAGCCTTCCTTCTGTCTGCCCAGAGAAGCTCCGTGGAGGGCAAAGAGAAGTCGCTTTGTCCATTCATTCATTCAGCAGTGAATCGGCTGTATAATAATGTCTGCCTTCGTGTCTGGTCTCTATGCCTAGCTATGTGGAGGCCGTGAGGAAAAGATGAAGGCGCTATGTTCACGGAGCATACGGTCTCCAACAAATATAACAGAAGTCAGCCTGCAAGATAGTGATGAAGAATTGATAGCTGGAAGAACAGTGGGGGAGTGGGGCGCTTAATTTTTGAAGTGGGATCAGTATACTATCTTTGAACTATGGTTGGGGTGATGGCATCCTTTAAAAAATCCTGGTGAGTTGTATTTTAAAGGTACACTTACAAGTACATTAGAGTATGTGACATGCAACCTTGATGATGCAAAAGATAATTTCACATGGGACCAAAGATGATTCTAGGTGGCATGTGGATCTGGTTTTAGACACTATTAAACTGAATGTTACAAAAGGGGTGCCTGGGTGGCTCAGTCATTAGGCATCTGCCTTTGGCTCCAGTCATGATTCCAGGATCCTGGGGTAAAGCCCCATATCGGGCTCCCTGCTCAGCAGGAAGTCTGCTTCTCTCTCTCTCACTCCCCTTGCTTGTGTTCCCTCTCTCACTGCGTGTGTCTCTCTCTCTGCCAAATAAAGAAATAAAATCTTAAAAAAAAAAAAAAAGAAAGTATTCCCTTTCTAATTCTATTTTGAGCTATGTGATTACAGATAGAACATTTCATTTAGATGCTATCTGTCTCAAACACCTCTCTATGAGTTGGTAAACACCCTCCCCCCGACCTTTTTAAATAAAGACTAAGTTCAGAAACTCCACAGGCAGACAGTTAGTAGAGTCCAGATAGAACTCGGTAGCCTTATTTTCTTTTTCTCCTATTTATTTTAGTGTGTCCTTTTACTTATGGTGAGTTGCATTCAGTTTTTTTAAATAAATTATTTAAGCAAACTGAGTCAATACTTAAAGAAACATGATAAGTGGCTAAGAACCAAGGTGGTACAAGGTTATGGTAAAACTGTGACAGTAATACGGAAATGACGAATGTTTCCTAAACAGGGGCACTGCAGTCCAGATAGGAGAATCTGATGAAGGGATGTATAAAGTGAGATCAAACGTGGACTGTGGACTTCACATTACCATCCAGTGAAGTTGCAGGGAGGCACCTGGGCTCAATGTCCAGTGTGTTAGGAGGGGGAGGGAGATTTGCCAACATTAACAGCGCACTTATTACAGGCAGACTGTGGTATGTTTTTGAGGCTAGACAGATGAATAAGATTGGGCCCCTCCTCTCAGAGTGAGTTTCCAGTTTGTCTCTAGGGGAGACAAACACGGAGATGTACATTCCTCTGTACACTGTGATAAATATTACCAACAGCTTTAAAACCCCAGGCAAAGGAAATAGGAAGAAACTGATTATATGAGTGTATGTGTGATAAGAATAGCTGCCATTTGTGGAGTATCTTCCAAGGGCCAGGGGATCTGCTAAATACTTTGTCACATTAGCTCATTTATTCCTTACAGTTAAGGAACTGAGATCGGAGAAGCTAAATAATTGTCCCATGGTTAATAATAGTGATGATGTTCAGGGTGCCTAGGTGGCTCAGTGGGTTAAGCCTCTGCCTTCGGCTCAGGTCATGATCTTAGGGTCTTGGGATCAAGCCCTGCATCAGGCTCTCTACTCAGCAGGGAGTCTGCTTTCACCTCTCACCCTGCCTGCCTCTCCGCCTGCTTGTGATCTCTCTCTCTCTCTCTGTCAAGTAAATAAATAAAATATTAAAAAAAAGTAATAGTGATGATGTTCACCACTGAGTATTTAATATATGCCCAGCACTGTGTTACATCCTATATGCACCTTAGCTCATTTAAGCTTCCCTACTAGCCTAAGAAATAAATATTATCTCCTTTTTACAGATCAGGAAACCAAGACTCACAGAGATCAGGAGACTTGCAGAGTTAGTGAATGGTGCTGTTGCAGTTTAATCCCAGAGGCGTTTGACTCCCAAACCCATTTCTTCCAGTTCTACTGCTTCCAATCAGCTGTCAGACTATAGGAACCTGATTTGGCTGTGCAGGGGTAAGGTTCACAGAGGGCTCGAGCTTCCAGGCTCGACCGGGTTTCTTTATTGAGTTTAGTACGTAACAACTCTTTCTGTTTCATAACATAAGCTCCTAAACTCCTCAAGCACTAAGTCTTATGACGGTGTGAGTGGCTAATGCTGTTCCCTGAAATTATAAGGTGATGTTGACAAATGCATTTCAAAAGTAGGTAAAAGAACTGGGTGATAGGGAAGGTGGGCTATAGTTCATCTAGTTTGTGAGGGCTAGAAACTATTTCCAGTGGGAACTCACAGAATCAATGCTTGATAGAGTCAAAGGGACCTTTAGGAGTATTAAATCCAATGTCCGCATTTTAGAACAAGAAGAGCTTAAGGGCCAAAGTTCCCACAGCAGACAGAGGAGCCGCGAGGCCACACAGCTCCCCATGTCTCAGTGCTCAGTGTGGTAGAGCAGTGGTTTTCAGAGTGTGGAAACCACACTTTCCAAGTGCTGATTTCCAGATTGGCAGCCTCAGCATTAACCTAGGAACTTGTTAGAAATGCCCACCTCAGACCCACAGATTCAGAAACTGCTGAGGAGGGGCTCAGCAAATCTGTTTTAAACAAGCCCTCAGAGGGATTCTGACGCATGCTGAGGTCTGAGGAGGACTGCAAAGTATCCACTATATATGATACAGCATATGGAGGGAAAGGGAAAGGAGAGTTAAGTCACCCCCACATCCCCGGAAGCTCTTCTCTGTTTATTCCCAGGTGAAGGGCTGAAAGGGTTCAGTGGAAACAACCTCCTCATGTCTACAGCAGACTCCCATGATATCTGAGACGAGCGGATGAGCCTACTGAACAAACGCTGGGCGAGGCTGGGGGACTCGGTGTGCTCTAGGTGAGGCTAGGCCTTGTCTGGCTGGCTGTCTATGTTGGAGATGCTGGAGGAGGGGGCTTGAGCTGCCAGAGGCAGAGAAAAAGAAATACTCCACCAGGCTCTTGCCTACTCAGGCCCCCTTTCCCCCTCAGAGGATGCAGCCAGGACTCTAGAAGAGTCTCTTCCCCAGGCTGTCCCTCCCCATTTGTGGTTCCATTCAAAACCCTGCAATGCATTTCCCCAAAGCTCGGCCTGTAGAAGGAGGGGAGAGGGAAGGTTGCAAAGATGTATGGAAGGCTGAAGATTTTTTTTTTTTTTTTTTTTTAAGATTTTATTTACGGGGCGGCTGGGTGGCTCAGTGGGTTAAGCCTCTGTCTTCGGCTCAGGTCATGGTCTCAGTGTCCTGGGATCAAGCCCCCCATCGGGCTCTCTGCTCAGCCGGGAGCCTGCTTCCCTTCCTCTCTCTCTCTGCCTGCCTCTCTGCCTACTAGTGATCTGTCAAATTAGTAAATAAAATATTTTATTTTATTTTATTTTATTTATTTATTTCACAGACAGAGATCACAATGAGACTCTGGGCTCAATCCCAGGACCCTGGGATCGTGACCTGAGCTGAATCCAGAGGCTTTAACCCACTGAGCCACCCAGGTGCCCCAAGACTGAAGAGCCACCCAGGTGCCCCAAGACTGAAGATATTTTATGCTGAAGGGATGCTTTTTATCTGAGGTTGGGAAATAATAGAAACTGATGTGCACTGAGGATGGACTAGAGATTTAGGGGCTGGCAGTTATCACACTTTCGCCAGTAGGAAATGAAGGCTGTGAGGAACGGCTGGGTGAGTAGGAACAGATTTAAGAGAATATGGAGTGGGACTCCATGTGGGGCTGGATCCCGGGACTCGGATCATGACCTGAGCTGAAGGCAGACGCTCAACGGCTAAGCCACCAGGTGCCACTCTGCCTGCTTGTATTGCCTCTCTCTCTCTCTTACTGTCTCTGTCAAATAAATAAATAAAATCTTAGAGAGAGAGAGACTATAGAGTGGGATACGCAGGGGAGAGGAGGGAAGATAGCACCCTTTGGACTTGGTGAGTTGTAACTGTAGTGCCAACATCCTGGGCCCTGCCTGAGGTCCTGAAATCAGCTGGCTCTAAGAACTTGAGCACAGGTGAATGATCACCCCCTCCTTCCTTCTTCTGTAAGGAGCTTGGGCTTTGGAGTCAGGCCGGTGAGGGTTCAAACCGCCGGCTGAACTGTGTGTTCCACCAGGGCAAGACTCCGCCTCTTTGGTTTACAGCTATGCGCCAAGCGCCTAAAACAGTATCGGGAACATGGTAGGCGCTCAACACACATTTGTTGAATGAATGGCGACACGCCAAGCCTCCTTTCCTCATCTGTGAATACTCTATCTGGACCGGTTGTTGCACAAGGAAATCGCCCAGCCCCGAACTTGACGCACAGTAGGCGATCAACAAGTTGTATTTTTCCTTTTCCTCACCAGCAGACGGGGTCCGCAGGCGATGGCAAGAGAAGGGTCTGTGTCCCTGCGCCCCTGCAGCCCCCGCTGGGTGGTGCGGGGCACGTGGGACCAGAGGGCGGGGTGGGAGCGGAGCGGCGGGGAGGGGAGGGGGCGCCGGCCCGCGACTCGCGCGGAGCGGGTCTCCCCGGCTTACGTAAGGCTCGAGTCCCGCGCGGCCGGCTGGGGCTCGGAGTGGGGGCGGGCGGAGGCGGCGCCGCCCAGCGGGATCCGGGCTGGAAGCCTCGCCGAGCGCCGCGTCCCAGCCGAGGTGCGTGTTTATTTGATTGCTTCGGGTGGAGAAGCGGCCAGACTCCGGCTCCCCGGGGCAGGGAGCGCCTCGGCCCAATCTCCGCGGAGGTGGGCGCTGGGCGGTCAGCGCGGGCGGCGGGCGGCGGCGACTCCGGAGGACTGACAGCCGCTGGGGAGGGGCCGCGGCGCAGACTCCGCGCTGCCCACGTGCGAGGCCCGGGGCAAGGGCTCAGCCCCCAGGCCGCCCCGTGCGTGGGGCGACGGGGCGCGCGCGTGGAGTCACCGCCCCTCCCGGCTTCCCCCTCGGTCGAGCCTGGCGCTGGGATGCCAGGCCGCCTAGCCCCTTCCTCGAACGCCGCGTGCGGAGCGAAAGAGGAAAGGCTGGAGGTGGGCTTGGCCCGGCGGCCCTCTGAGCCCCCGAGGTCGACCCCGCCTGGGGCGGGGACTCGGGACTCCTACGGAATCGCGGCGTGGGGGCGAGGAGGGCGGGGATGGGTAGCGTGGCGCCTTTCTCCGCCTTCGAGCCGGCCCCGGCGCGGGGCTGAAGGGAGGGGTTGTCTTCAAAAGTCACTCCTTCCCCCTGCAGGGGCGCCCGGCGAGTCCCCGCGCGAGCGGAGAGTGTCGGAGGCAGAAGGAGCAGCAGCAGCAACAAAGTTCCCGGGGCTTCTCCGAGGCTGCTGTCCGGGTTGCCTGTTTGGCCGCCCCCTCCCTGCCTGGCGAAGGCAATGGCTTCCAAACTCCTGCGCGCGGTCATCCTTGGGCCGCCTGGCTCGGGCAAAGGCACCGTGTGCCAGAGGATCGCTCAGAGCTTTGGCCTCCAACATCTCTCCAGCGGCCACTTCTTGCGGGAGAACATCAAAGCGAACACCGGTGAGGGGTGGGGGGTGCGGGGGCGAGGGGCGGGGGTGATCCGTAGCCGGGTCGGGTTAGGTCGGGTCTCCTAGGTCCCCGGGCGCCCTTCCCCCGCCCGCGTGCGGTCGTGCAGGCTCGTACGTGCCTGGGAGCATGCAAACGGTGGCCCACGGCCGTGCGGCTTAACCGCGCCCCTGGAGGAAGCCGAGGCCAGCCGGGAGGAGGGTGGGAGGTGCTCGGGGCTCCTCCAGTCTTGGGGAAAAGCCGGTAACCACTCAGACAGCCGAAAAACCCGAGCTTCCCGCTCGCCCTGCCTCTTTAAGGCAAAGCTCTCTGTGCCCACACCTTCCCCGCGCCCCCTGCTCTGGCCGCCCACCTGTGGGAGTCGGGTCCCGCTGTGCGCTGGGGAGCCTGTGGCGCTGCGGGTCTCGCAGCCGCGCGCTATTCCTGCCCCTCCGCGCCGCCCGGGCCTCCGGACAGAGCCCTGGTGGCTTTGCAAGGCCTGTCTGTCCGCGGACGCCTTCTAAGGTAAACTCTCACCACGAACTCCCCTCCTTCCCAAGCCGGGGCCTGGCCGTTGGGAGACTACGTAGTAGGAGGCTCGATCTGATAAATTACCTTTTAAATCCTGCTTCCCTGGAAATGGCTTCTTGAGAAAGTCTCCCTTGACTGGAGTCGTGGATTTGGGGGTGTAGATCGCCTGATCCTTTCGTCTTTCAGTAGGGCCCTTCACCCCTCTCCTTCCACCCCACGTCCACCCCAGTTCCTGATGAACTGGCATTAAAAGGCGCGAGGTGGCTGTTGGCGCTTCTAGTGCGTAACCCTTCTGGGATGCATGTGCTCATAATTAGCAACTCCTTTACGAAAACTTGTTAACCACAGACGGGGTGCTGAACCTTCGCTGCTGTCCTTGGAGGTGACCAGGGTGGTTATTGCCCATTCGTGGGCTAATTATCCAGAGATCTTCATTACAGAAGCATAGATTAGTTTGAAGAGGTGGGCGGAGGACTGTGCTGGAAAACGGCATAGAAGCTAGGAATTAAGAAACATCTCCAAGGCAGAGTTTTATTCATTATCTCTTAAGCTATTGCAAAAAGCAAGCTTTTATTTTGATTCTCAGAAAGACTGGGCCTCTTCTCCCTCCCCTCCCCAGCCTCTGACGGTGTAGAGTTCCGTGTACCCTGGTCGTACCTTGAATTTTTTCTCACCTCAAATGGGTCTATTTTAATTTTAATACCACCTTTAGCTGCATTTTATTCTTTTTGTTTTGGAATGCAGTTTGGGGGAAGAGCAGTGTGAGAGGGAAGGCTGGCTCTCAGCCGGAGGGTTTTGTGATTGGCTCCGGTTTCTCTGTGGTAGGGAGCCGGAGGCAAGGTGAGGGGAGGAAACGATGCAATGGCTTTGAGCCCATTCCTTAGCATTTTTTATACCTGCCTTGGGAACTGGTTTCCTTCTGGCATGAAAGACTGCACCTTGTCCATCCCAGCCTGGATTAGTGGTGCCCTTCCCATTTTTAAAGTGAATGTGATGGGAAGTAGCTTACTTCTGAACTTTCTTAGAGGTTTTGAAGACTTTCCAGATGTTTTCCCTTATTCTCACTTTTTACAAATTTTTTTTTAACTTTACTTGTTTTTTTGGATTTTAGTTTCTGTTCCCTTTCACATGCCTTCATTGTTCCCAGAGTTTCTCTCTGCTGTAAGACTGTGACTGTTTAGATTTTGTTTTTCTCTTGGGAGCTAAGTAGTTTTTGCAAAAACCAATTTAAAAACCGCTTATCTGCTAAAGAGAAGAAAAACGGAGGGCAGCAATTTCTTTTCAAAGTGGCTTGTGTCTGGTGGACTTGGAGGGTGTTCTCAGATTATTTTTCTCACAGAAAGTTGGTTCTAAGAGTCTTCAGGCTCAGTGCCTGGTAAATAAAACATTCCACAGTCTATTTTTCTGTTACCTGTTGTTAGCTTTTAGTTAATTTTCTGGTAGAGAAATACAACAGCCCCTCTCTAGGTGCCCCTTTATTAGAGTTGAAGGTTTGAAGGAGCGCATGAAGCACAACAAAACCCCAGGAAATAAAATGTTGGTGGGAACTTGAGTTGGAAAGTATCTCAGGCCATCTGCTCCAACCTTGCTTCCAGCATACTCCTGTCCACATGGCTTTCCTGCAGCCCTGCCTTCTGAAAAGCTGCTCATCCAGGGAAGGAAGGGCTACCCCCGGCTTCTAGGAAGTCTTCCCTTATCTGCCCTGAGAGAATTCATTTCTTTACCCTGCACTTAGCTTGATGATGCTGTCACATGCCGTGTGGCAAAAGTCTGTCTGATTCATCATGTAGATACTTAAACCAAGTACCTGTTATGTGTGGGACAGTGTTCAAGGTACTGAGGGCTGTAGCAGTATTTAAGATAATCCTGTGCCCTTTGTTGTCCCTTCTACCTTCACTGTGTTCCAGTTCCCACTAAAAGAGACTTCAAGGTCAGGGATATGGATGGTGAAGTACCTGGTGCCTAAAGAGAGTTCAGCAAGTCTGTGTTGAAGGCAGAATATAAGTCAGATAACCTCCAGTAATTGAGTCCATTCTGTTTAATTAGCCTTGACTTGTGGTAAAAGTTTGTATTTACTATGATCTGAGATTAGCCTAAGATAGTTGTCACTCATTGGCTCTGCCTCATCTGCCTGGAGCAGTACTGCTGAGACTTAATCAAAGACTTTATTTTTTTTGAAGGGTATTGACCCGGATGCCTGGATGGCTCAGTCAGTTAAGTGTCTGCCTCCTGCTCAGGTCATGATCCCAGGGTCCGCGGATCAAGCCCCACATCGGGCTCTCTGCCCAACAGGGAGTCTGCTGCTCCCCCTCATTTACCCTCTGTGTGTATGCCTGCAGGCGCTCTCCCTCTCAAATAAAATCTTAAAGAAAAAAAAAAAAGACCCACACCCAAATCTTTGGTTCTCTTTGGTTTTCTTTAGTACTTTGCACAAGTAAATAGAAGGGATAGTTTTCATAGATTGCCAGGAGGGGGGTCCTACACTGTGTTAAAAGGAATGTTAACTTTTCTGTGTATGCGCGTACGTGTATATAAGCATGTGCATGTACACACGGGACGACACTTAGTAGTGAGTCCTAGTAAAACTCCTTATCTCTTCTGTTGAGTGGTGGTGACTGAAACCTCCCTCTGAAAGGATGTGAGAATCCTGCTTTAGGGGTTGGACAAATACTGGCGTTTTTTTTGTTTTGTTTTGTTTTGTTTTTTATAAAAATCACATTATTCTGTACTGGATCTACTCTCTCAAGTGCAGGAAAATTGGCAGATTTCCATTTGGAAGCATCCTGAACTTGATTGGGAGATACAATGTTCAAGAACAAACCTGTTTCTGCTCTTAATATTAACTGCAGCTCTTGCTGGGGTTTGCAGATGGGACTAGCATTTCAAATTAGACTATGGCCTGAGCCTCTTTTCTTTGAAAAGATGACCTAGTTCAGAGGACTCAGGTTTTTGTTTTGGGGTTTTTTTTTTTTTTTTTTGAGTATAAATGTGTCTTTTCTTATGTAAGAGTGAAAACTGAGGGTTGGAAGATAGAAAGGTTGTATTTGAGAGACTTGACAGAGTTGAACAAGGTATCTAAAATAACTTTAAATAGTTAACCTTTGTGTGGATCATAGAGTGTCTTGGCGTATTACAGGATTTCTAGAGTATTCTCTGTTCCATTTTTTTTTTTTTTTTTTAAGGTTGGTATAGCCCAGGTCAAGGCATTGAGGGAGCAGAAGGCTAACTGAAGACAAAGCACATGCTGGCACCCTGACACCCCCTCCCAACCCCCGGTGGGACAAGTGTGACATTCTTCCAGGAATTTCCCAACTGTCTTAATGTTAATACCTTGCTAGAAGGAAAACAACCTTCATGGCCTCTGGGGTCTTGTAGTTATTTTATATAGGTCGGTTGGTCCTCTTTAGCATATGAAAGTTCTTTTAAAACCCAACTCCTGAGAGTATAAAATCCCCACTCCTCAAGATTCTGGTGCAGCCCCCCTTTGTGCCCATGGCTCCTGTCCTGTCCTCATGCTTTAATAAACAAACGACCCTTTTGCACCAAAGGCATCTCAAGAATTCTTCAAGAATTCTTGGTGGTTGGTTCGAACCTCACCTGTATTCCAAAACCATATCAAAGGGTCTGACCAGTTAGGGGCATCTCTTGTTTCTACAGGTCCGCTCTACAACTTATTTTTTCTGGCTTCTTTGAGGGTTCTTATGGGTGTTGGAAGAGAACTATTTGTAACTTTTTTTTTTTTTTAGATTTTATTTATTTGAGAGAGAGCATAAGCAGGGAGGGAGGCAGAGGGAGAAGCAGACTCCCTGCTGAGCAGGAAGCCGGATGTACTGTCCCCTGAGGGTACATTTGCTTTGGCCACATTCACAGCCGAATCTGAGCATTCTTCCAGTGTGGTCATTTCTTTTTTTTTTTTTTTCTTTTAAGATTATTTGTTTGAGAGAGAGCGAGTGCAAACACCCACGCACAGGTACTGGTGTGAGTACAAACGGGAGGGGGCAGAGGGAGAGACAGAAGCAGACTGCCTGCTGAGCAGGGAGTCCTCTGCAGGGCTCAATCCCAGCACCCTGGGATCATGACCTGAGTTGAAGGCAGACACTTAACTGACTGAGCCACCCAGGTGCTGCCAGTATGGTCATTGTTTAAATGACCTAGATTGGAGTCCTGCCTTGTAGAAAATTTGGAAAGTGTGAATTGGATTGGATTTTAGGGCACTGAAAAGTTATTCAAGGTTTTGAATAGGGCGCTGACACGAATGGATTTACTTTCTAAAAGTTGACGTTTGGGATGCTGTATGAAATGACTCCCGTTAAACAGGAGTGGTACCAGTAAAACCAGTATAGACTAGGAGAGTGGACCATGGCTTGGGTTGGGCAGTAGTGGTGAAGGCAGAAATGAAGGACTTTAGGAAGTGTATGAAGGCCAAGCTGACTGGACAGAGTGAGTTGCTTGGGAGGGGTGATGGAGAGAAAGCAGCCCACAAT